CTAGGACGGAGGATTTAGCCTAAGTGAAGCTGCTAGTGCTGGCACGTACCCAAATATCTCTCTACAATGTATCCCCAATTCCCGCTGTAAGAAAGGAACAGTAAAACGCTTTCGCGATACTTATAATCAAAAGATGTTATGTGTTATATGAGGCATCTCAATTGTAGAGATGTTGTAACATAGGAAACTTAGTTATCTCTAGTATTGATGAAGTATGGTAGCCCTTTAAAAGATATAGGCTTAGCTAAAGGGGTACTTCTCCGAAATAGGCGGTTATAAAACAGTGCCGTAGACGGTGCACACCGCCGGGAGCTGTCCGCGGTGCTGAAGCGGCGGCGGCGGCGCAGCGGGGCCGCGGGGCCGGGAGCCGGCAGCCGGGCAGCCCTCCCGGGAGCTACGCCGCGGCCGCGCGGCGGGGGCGCCGTCGCTCACCGGCCCATGTCGGGCCCCCGAGCCCAGCGGAGGAGGCGGGACCGTCCGCGGCGGGACAGGTAAGGGGCCGTCTCGGGGCGCAGCGGGAGCACAGAGCCTGGCGCGGAGCCGGGAGTGAGCTGGGGAGGCAAGGAGAGCCCCTACAGGGCTGGGGGCTCGGACCGCACCTTGCGCTCGCGCCGCTGCCAGGCTGGGGTTGCTGCGAGGGGGCTGAGAGACTGGAGCCAAGACAGGCACAGGGGCACCCTGACCCCACACCGCCAGGCCTTGACCCCAGCCTCCAGGGGTCAAGCTCTGAGACACTCAGCCCACTGATTGCCAGGAATGCCGTGAGTCTCCCAGGCCCTTTGGCACCCCAGTCCCATTACGGTTCTGCGACACTAGCAAAATCGGCTTTGGGTTCACTGGGCTCCTCTCTTCTCCCACCCAAACCTGCTCACCAGTGTGACTGGGATGGCTGTGTCCCCTTTATTCTGAGATTATTCTGCCCTAGAAATGGCCCTTGGGCCAAGGGATGGGCCCAGAGCCTGAGGATTCATTAGCCAATTTCTCCAGGGAAGGAAAGAAGTACCAGAAGATAACTCCAGTGTTTTGTTTTTTTTTTTTCCCTGTGGCCCTCTTGACTCTCATGGAAACAGGCGGGTTTTGCATCACACTGCTCAGTGCATGAGAGCAAGGACTGGGGAACCCGGGTCCTACTTTCCGTTACACGCCTGAATGCTGGTGACCCTACACAGAGCCTGCATTTGGACTTCTCTCTCTCGCTCTCTCCCTCTCTCTCCCTCTCCCTCCCTCTCTCTCTCCTCTCTCGCTCGCTGTCTCTGGCAAGAGTGTGCCAGATGAGCTCACTCGGGCCTGCAAAGTGCTTTTAGTTCTTCACAGCAGAGTTCTACGAGTGGCAGGAGGAATGTGGTGATCCAAATAAAGCTGCGTAGGGGAGGGCTGGGTCCATCACTTTGGCTGACCCCTGCCTTCTACTGCTTTATCCTCACCCTCCGGCCCCACCCCCAGTGGTAGAAAGCGCACTAGATGGGGCTACTATTGTGGCATAGCTGGTAAAGCTGCCTCCTGCGACACTGCCATCTCATGTGGGTGCTGGTTTAAATCCAGCTGCTCCACTTCCAATCCAGCTCCCTGCTAACGGCCTAGGAAAAGCAGCAGAAGATGGCCCAAGTGTTTGGGACCCTACCACCCACATGGGAGACCCAGATGAAGCTCCTGTCTCCTGGCTTTGGCCTGGCCCAGAACTAGTTGGCCATCTGGAAAGTGAACCAGCAGATGAAGATGTATCTCTGTGTGTCTGTCTCTTCCTCCCTCTCTCAGTAACTCTTTCTTTTTCTTTTTCTTTTTCTTTTTTTCTAAATTATTTATTTCAGAGGCAGAGTTGCAGACAGAGAGAGGGAGAGACAGAGAGAGAGGTCTTCCACCCACTGGTTCACTCCCCGAGATGGCCGCAACGGCCAGAGATGTGCTGCTCCAAAACCAGGAGCCAGGAGCTTCTCCTGGTCTCCCATGCGGGTACTGGGGCCTAAGCACTTGGGCCATCTTCTACTTCTTTCCCAGACCATCAGCAGGGAGCTGAATTGGAAGTGGAGCAGCCAGGAATCTAATCAGCACCCATATGGGATGCTGGCACCACAGGTGGAGGCTTAACCTACTATGCCACAGCGCTTGCCCCAATAACTCTGACTTTCAACCTAAATAAATAAATCTTTAGAAGTAGAGAAAGAGCACTAGGCTAGGAGTTCCGAGCTAGGCACTGGCATTTGCTGGCTTTGTCCAGTTACCCAAGCTCTCTGAACCTCAATGTCCTGAACCCTAGACTGGGGACAGGGCCGCCGTGGGGAACTGCCTTGGGACTAGATAAAACAACACACTTGATGGGAGACTCAGTAGCTGCAACTGGTCTCCATTCCCAGGTCACTGTTCCCACCTGCTAGCCAGGCCTCCTGGTGGTGCCCTAATCATTGTCACCTGTACCCCCTCGTCTCCCAGCCAGGCCATGGCTCCCTCTGGCCTGGGCCTCCCTGGGGTCCCAGAATCAGTGAAGCCCAGCTCATAAATCCTGGGAAGACAAAAGGCTTCCCTCCTGCCTTCTCCCTCATCAACACCTACGGGAGACAGTAGACAGTGAGCGTCTGACTCGCAGTTTTTATTATTATTTTTCCCAAGAATTACAGATCTGGGGAAACAGCTCCTTGAAGGCAGAGAGGGTGTTGTTTTCATCTCCTGGCCTCCCTGCATACCTCCCTCCCCTCAGCACCTGGGAAGTAGTAAGACTCAGTAAGCGGGTGTAAAGTAAGGGACAGAAGTGTTTCAATGTGTCAGAATAAAGGCGCTTCACTAGGAGTCGGGAGAACCTTGTTCTGGTCCAAGATTTGCCATAGCCGGTCTCGGACAGGTCCCTTCCCTCTGCAGCCTTCATCCGTAAGAGAAGAGTTGGGCCCCATGAGTTTCAAGGTTCGCGTCCTGTGGGGCTCTCTAAGGCTGTCTCAGGCCCACAAAGCCCACAGCCCTCCTTGGGTCCAGGCTCCCAGCTTCATTAGCCCAGGGGGAGCTGGATTTCATGACTAGAACGGAAGGGAGCAATAGGAACCAAGAGAGCCTTTGTGTGTCTGCCGTTTTCTTCTTTGTAAAGTTTTCTTTAAGACCCACTTTATTTATTTGAATAGCAGAGTTGTAGAGCGAGAAGAGGAGACAGGGAGAGAAAGCTTCCATCTGCCTGTTCACTCCCTCCTCCCAAAATGGCTACAAGGGCCAGGGCTGGGCCACGCTGAAGCCAGAAGTCTGGAACTCCACTGGGGTCTCCCATGTCGGTGGCAGGGGCCCAAGCACTTGGGCCATCTTCTGCTGCTTTCCCAGGTGCCTTCGCAGGGAGCTGGATCAGATGTAGAGCAGCCAGGACTCCAACCGGTGCTCTTGTGGGATGCAGGCTAGGAGAGCAGTGGCTTGACCCGCTGGGGCACAGCACTGGCCCCTGCTGTTTTCTCAAGGACCCCCACCCTTCCTTGTGTCCCTGGGAAAGTCCAAAGTGTTTGCAAAGAGGCTGAGCTGTGAGGGCCACTGCCTCCAAGCCAAGAAGTCAGGAGCACCCCTCCCCCACTCTCCTTTACAAGTAGTCCTGGGCCAAGGGACCAGACCTCCCAGGTACCTCCTCCCAGGGCCCTGCATAGCTGGGATCTCCCCCAGCCAGGAAAACTGGAGGAGGGCACAGACCTCCAGAGAGTCCTGCTTTACAGAAAAACAGACTGAGTGAGCTTTCTGACAATCATTTCCCTCAATGGGGGCAGGCCCAGCCACAGCTCAGAAATGCCTTAGCTAATTGGCACTTGGGTGGGTCTGAGTGAGCCATGGCTGTGACCTCCCGACCCACGCAGCTCCCGCCCCACGTCAGCGCTTTCTGTCTCCCAGCTGTTGGTGCAGCCTGGCAAGAGCCAGCTCTCTGGAGTTAATGGACAGTCACTAACCCCTGTAACGAAGCGACGTGACAGCAGCAGCAGCCACAGCCAGCAGCTAAAGGGGCTTTCTTTTGTGCAGGACTGGTCTGCCGTGGAGCTGGCCTGCTGTTGGGGGTGACAAAAACATGCTCCTCTTCCCTCTGCAGCTGTCTGGGTGCCCTCCCACCCCCACAGCCAGCTCTGGTCACCCAGGTAGACAGCAGCCAGCCCCTCTCCCAGCCAGGGAGAACTATCCACCAGCGACTTCCTAAGCATGCCCCACCCCGACTCCTGTCCCCTCCTTGCTGTGGCTCCTACTGTGGCCCCTCTGCAAAGACTCAAAGACAAGAGGGAGGGGACCCTGGCATGTGATCAGGTGATCACAGCAAGCTGGGGCAGCAGTGGGGGGAGCTGGGGAAGAGAAAGAATGAATGCAACCTGGTCACTAAATGGTGTGTGTGTGAGTGAGAGAGAGAGAGAGATTGGAACATTGAGATCCACACATGCAGGTCCCCTGAATGACACACAAAATGGCAGGAGCACAGTATATCTGAGGACAGCGGTGCATTATTAATTACCTGCAAATCCCAAGGCCTGTTCATCTCTGCATCCTGGAGGGGGCTGCCGGGCCCTCCAGTCCACACCCCAGGGAGGAAGAAGCAAAAAGACACAGCCCGCACTTCGGGGAGAAATCTCTCGGCTCGCTAAGCCCTCTTCTGTAGTTTGCAATCCTTGCCTTTCTGGGGGACTCAGTCGGCTTCCTGTCTGGGACGAGGTTCCCTGCGCTGCAATCCAGGGGACAAGAAAGGCTGATCCTCGTCCACCTCATCCCTGCTTTGTGTCACATCCTGTTCTCCCCCCACTCCCTGCAGCCCCCTCCGCCCCCGCCAGCCCCTGGTCCAGACCAAGCAGGGAGCGAGGGCCAGTGTCCTCTCCTCCGTTAGGTATGTTATCTTCCGCCATTAGATGCGCCGTTTGCGCCTAAGTGGTTGGGAATGAGCTGCTTCAGTGGAGAGACAGGTTATTTCCGTGAGAATAAAGATCTGATTTCCGCCTGAAAATGGACTAATTTGAGTAGCGTGGCGCCACCATCCCAATCATTCCGGCAGGCAATGTTCACCCTTGTCAGCCAGAAACCCAGCCCCCAGGCGGATGGAGTATGCTTGGAGAGAGAAGCCAGCCAGGCCCACGGGAGCCCAGAGTGGCAGGGGATAGCAAAGAGGGTGGGCGGATTTTTCCAGGAAGGTAGCAATGAAGACGTGTCCGTGGGAGCGGAGGTGTGCCCCGCCGTCTCCTTTCCTGCCTTCTCGGCTCTGATCTTCCCTCTCTCCAAAATCTCTTGCTGGTTCTCACTCCACTCTCCAGGCCTGACCACTTCCCTGGGCTTCATCCACACATCCAAGTGCCAGGCAGAATTTCCACACGAGGATTCCAAACCAAGCCCATCCGCGTCTCCCGGTCTTGCTCCCCTGTGTGCATGCGCAGAGGCGCACACGTGAGGTTTTCCAGCTCTGTGCTTGGTGCACCTTCTCAATCTCAATAGTTTTTTTCTTTCCACTCAGGAAATGTCTTTCTGCTTCTTCTTTCATTATTTTTAATTGAATTTAATGTTACTGGACAAG